CACCTACGCCACTGTGGTCGATTCTGAGCCACGTCACCCCGAGTTTCCAACTCTTGGTTACGATAGTCACGCGTACCCCAACCAAGTAGTCTGCATCTACCAACATGAATAAAACCACAAGTTAGTGACTTCAAGTACTGATTCCACGTCATGATTTGGCCGCCCCGGATTTTATCGTAACTGGTTCTCATGTTATGGTCCATTACAATGGAAACGTATCTTTGAAGAACCATGAATGAGGTTACGTGAATAAATTCTGAGTAGCCAAATGGCAGTGTCACGGTGGTTTGCAACTAAGAAGACTATATAAAATTAAAGCGTTTGAGGCCCGAATACAGGCAGGAAAAAAAGCTCCAAGGAATTTCAGAAGACAGATAACGAGACATTGTGTTTCCTCAGAACCAATAGCATAGTTGTTTAGGTTGCTTGAACAGGGAAACAATATGACGAAATAAAGGTCATCGTCCGGTACTTACTTACGCCTGTTACCGCTCATGGAGGGGGCATAGGCCGCTCACTAGTACTCTCCATCCAACTCTGTCCTGGGCAATTTTTTCCAGTTGCTATTCATTCTCTTCATGTCTGCCTCCAATTATTCGACCTTCCTCTTTTCCGTTTCCCTTTGTGATTCCAAGTTAGCACTTGCCTCGTGATATAGTTTGATTATTTCCTCAATGTATGTCCTATCAATTTCCATCGTCTTTTCCTAATATCTTCTTCAGCTCGAATATGGTTTGTTCTCTACCACAGTAGACTGTTTCTGATGGTATGGATGTTGAGTATCTTGCGTAGTCAACGATTTACAAATACTTGTACCTCCTTGATAGTGGTTGTAGTTATTCTCTGAGTTTCAGCTCTGTACACTAGAACTTTCTGGACGTTCGTATTGAAGATTCTGACTTTGATATTGGTTGAAAGTTGTTTTGAGTTCCATATGTTCTTCAGTTGAAGGAATGCCGCTCTAGCTTTGCAATCCTCGCCTTGACGTCTGCATCTGAACCTCCTTGTTTATCGACGATGCTTCCCAGGTATGTGAAGGATTCCACGTCTTCCAGAGTTTCGCCATCAAGAGTGATTGGATTGCTGTTCTCCGTGTTGTGTTTGAGGACCTTGGTTTTCCCTTTGTGTATGTTGAGGCCTACTGATGCAGAGACTGCTGCTATGCTGGCTGTCTTTATCTGCATTTGTTCGTGTGTATGTGATAGGAGGGCTAGGTCATCTGCGAAGTCCAAGTCGTCTAATTGGTTATGAGCTGTACATTGTATGTCGTGTTTTCCCTCAAATGTAGAGGTCTTCATAATCCAGTCGACCACCGGAAGAAAGAGAAAGGGAGAGAGTAGACAGCATTGTCTGACTCCGGTCCTTACTTGGAATGTATCTGTCAGCTGTCCTCCATGCACCACTTTGCAATGTAGTCCAGATGATATTGACGATTTTCTCAGGTACACTATAGTGTCGAAGGCGTTTCCATAATGTCCACCCGTCCACGCTGTCAAACGCCTTCCCATAGTCAACGAAGTTGATGTATGGTGACGAGTTCCATCCAACTGATTGTTCGACGATGATCCGCAGTGTCGCAATTTGGTTTTTGCACGACCGATCCTTACAGAATTCAGCCTGTTGATCTCAAAGTTGGGAGTCTACTACGTCCTTCATCCAGCTCAGCAATACTCTGTTGAAAACGTTTCCTGGTACTAACAGTAATGTGATGCCCCTGTAGTTCTCACATTTGCTCGGATCTCTTTTCTTTGGTATCTTGATGAGGTGTCCTTCTATTCAGTCTTTCGCTACTTATTCTTCCTTCCAAATCTTCCTGAGTCGTAGTTTATTCTTTTCTCAGGTCCTGTTGCTGAGAGTTATCTTGAATTCTTCGAATTTGTTAGTAACTCGTAGCAAGGTTGTTTTGAACCTTTGTACCTCTGTTTCTCCAGCTGTCTAGTGTTCTTTTAGCTTCAGTCCCACTCATCGTCGGGTAAGAGTCAATATTTTGTAGATATCAAAAGCATACTTCGATTGTGAACCATTCGTGTAATTGAAGGTATAACTTCAAATCATAAACTTCGAACAATCAGAATAAGGCTTAGATCGTTTAATTAAGGATCACCTTTGGTTGCCTAATTGCTTTAACCAAGTAATACCAGAATGGCTTAGATTTGTCCGAAAGATATGCTTTTGTTTAGTTTATGGTCACCTTGAAGCTTTACCTGTACTACATAACCTGAGAGACCTTCAAGAGAATGTATCAGGACTTAAAGAAAACTGGATCAGTGACTTCCGTTTTTGCTATTCGTTCAAAGTAGTGAGGGGATCTGAGTAAGAATGTGTACTGTTGCTCGTAAATTCACACCAATTAAGAATTTTAAAACTAGATGACCCGAGTAAAATGAAATCAAATGAAAAGAAGCGGTGGTTGCATTAGATATAAACCCCACAATATTAAGATCCCTCAATTTGAAAATCTTCGAAAAGTCAGGTTTTGAAATCGAATACAACTGGTATTTACGTGGTAAAGTAAGGTTTACTGACTATATTCTAAGTTTTATACATTAACGCTTTTGGTTCGGTAATAAGCACCATGAACTTGGAAAGCTGATGAATTATCTGAGTCTAGCTACTGCTTTTTGAAAAATGCAATCTGTTCCTCTCTTAAAAGCGCCACACAAAGCAACACCAGTATGATCAGAATACATTAATTTGCAGTGTAATAAAGTTATAAGTCGCATGTATAACAAATTGATGCTATTTGTAAGCAGCCAACTCAAACAATCATGGTTTACTTTTTCAGCACGCTAGCAGCACCGTTGTGAGGCAATTACATGTGAATTCAACTGCCTTGGTTATATATTCGTAATTAGAACAGTTTATTACTGTTCATTGTGTCCAGCTGGAGACGTTTCACAGGTAATCATTACGACATAGAGTGAGAGAAGCCTTACCGCATTAGGGGTTTACACATGTCAACGACCGTTTAATTGATATTAACAGCCATCGAAATACTGGAGATAATTACGCATCCTGCTATTATACGTCATGCTGATTGGTGAATATGTGGCTCTTGATTCAATAACTTGGCTGCACAAAAAGTCAGAACACGGATAGGAATAATGACGTAAAAATCGACGCAGCTAGAGTACAATTTAACAAACAGTTTATTAAGTCTGGGATTTCATACTTAGGAATGAACTGTGAGAATTCGGAATTTAGTGTAAATTTAGAGAATGAGATGGAGAATTTTTCGATGAAGAAAGGCATGGAGTAAAAGATATTTATCCACAGAAAAACTGGCAAAACATGTGGTGCCTCAACATAGAATTTGGGGTCTACTCAATTATTTACTCCAAGTAAAAGAACCACATATGTTTCTAGATCAATTGTAACATTTAGAGACGACAATAAATTATAAAAATCTATGGACATTAGAGATGGTAAGATAATTGTACATTGGATTTGATAATCTAAACGAATATAAACAGACGGTTATTTGAGATAACAGAAAAGCTGTTGCCATAGGAATTTAAAAGAGCAGATAATACCATCATAAGATAAATGTAATGAAAATGGTTAGGGTTGATAAGCAAGATTGCATTCGGACTTTAAAGACTGGACAGTAACCTGTGTTCACATTTTCGATTTCCCTACGTAGAATCCACTATTTAAAGCGCTCTGATCAAGTCTAGAAACTAAAATAAAATTACTATCATTTCATGAATAGTTTGCTGTGCAAGATTTTAGGTCCACAAAATTTCTAACGAAAACACACGGTACCAATACAGTTTGATGATGTATTCAAGATGAAACTGAATATATGCAGCATTAATTTAAGTTCGTTACGTAGGCTGCGTGTGCTTTATTGACGTAGCCTGGTCCATACAAAACCCTACTAGTAATACAGTTGTAGTGAATCAGACAGGTGTTCAGTTAAGCATATATTTATAAGTTGACTTGATAAAAGAAACACGGAACCCGAGCACACTATTAATTTCATCAGAGCACAAACACACTCAGAATTATAGCAAAAGCCAAATAGAAAGAAATAATGTTATTGGATTTCAGATAAGATCGAAGCACTTTGTCAAATTCAAAATACAACTAGAATGATTATTGATTAAAGAAGTGACAGCTGATGACCTAAATACTGTAATACGTCTGTAAACAAAACGCAATCATTATATGAACTCACAGTGATAGAAGCGTACTCCAAGAGAAGATTGATGATAGCGACTGGCATCAAGAAATACATCCACTCGAATAGCCAAACAGATTTCTCCACGAATTCCATGCATAGTGTCATAAATTGGAAACCAGCCATTTAAACATCTGGTTTGGCCACGACTCAGTAAGGGGTTTAAATCAAAGTAAACTCTCCCGATGGTATCATGTGCGCTATATGTGTCATGATCCATAACTCTAATTATTAAAATAAAAATCTAATATCTACAAACTTAAGTAGTAACGCCTCGTCTTGTAAAGCTTGGTCGTCTAACTGCAAACTGAGAAAAATAAAGAAACAGGTACCTCAAAACAGAACCATTCACTATTCCACGAAGGATTAAGAGATCGACGGACTACTTCTGTCTTATAAGTTATGCTTCCGATACACAACTGAAAAAACTAAAGATATCAAACTCTGCTTACTTCAACAAAAGCATCTGTAAGAAATGTAGCTCTATCCATAACTGGTAAATTCCGTGCTGATATAACCCGCACTTTGACTGTCCCAGGCATTTTATTGAATTTTACATTTGTAAGTTGACCTTGAAGTTTAAATCCGCGCCTAGAAAAGTTCACTTAAAGGAGAACTGAAAAACTCACTTAATGCTACTTCATTTTGCTGTAGAAATGATAGTGACTTATAAAAAAATATTGCTGATACTCCTTGATTGTTGAAAGCCACTTTCTAGGATTCTGACATCGACCAATAAACGTTGTCGTTTAGACGCATCATTAGTACATAATCCTCGCATTAGCACTTTATTCGTTATTGGACGTATAAATCACTTTACAAAAGAGCTCCTCCCTAGAAAGGGAGAATATTATGAATCGATGTCCAAACAGAGAGAAAGTCCTTCTTAATCTGAAGTGGTTTGTTAATCGCTTTATAAAATCATTCGAATCAAAATTAATACAAGCAATATCATATGCTTCAAACAGTTGTGTTCAAAGCCCTTCTGGGTCTTCAAACATTTCCTCGCCAACTTTGTCAGCATCAAAAGTGAGTATTAAAAATGAAAATGCTTCTGGTGATTTACCATTTATTCGACGTTTGCTTGATCAACAAATAAAATGTGGAAACAAACGTTTAAAAAATGAAAGTTCTTATTCTTCCCGAGATATAAGCATTCAAATTGCCGATCAAAAACAAACATATCATTCACCTTTGATGAAAATTCGTTCCCTTACTAACTCACCACTGTTCCGTCGACTGTCTTTCACACTCAACAATAATAAACGCCAATCATTATTGTCTCAAGATGAAAAAAATGATTGGGTAAAAAATCATTCTGACTTTGATGAACCATGTGAGTTCGTAAGACGCAAGCCAAAAATACCTGATGTTACCATTACTAGAAAATGTTATTCAAACGCTCAGAGTCCTTCTTGTACACCTTTTGAACAAAATGTAATCAACACATGTAGAGGACCTTTATTTCGACTTGCTGAACTAACTACTGAATCACAGAGGTTTTCAATTCTATCAGGCTTCGCACAACAACTATGCATTATATATGAATATCAGCTCGGTATGTTGAGAAACTTGCCATCAATACATGCTGCGGCGGATTATGTGGCTGATGTGGTAATAAGAGCTATCAAATTAAAGAAGATTTCAGGGATAAATCCTCAAAATTTAACTCCATTGATTCTGTTTGACAGTGAATGTCGACCAAGTACATATAGTAAAACTGTAAAAACTCTTCCCTTAACTGTTACTGGAGAACAAATGTCGTGGAAGCTGGGAGAAATATGGACACTTCCTGGATTAAGGCATAATGAAGTTGGTGGTGAAAACTGTCACAATCTTAGTATAGTAACACATTTCCTTTCTACAGTTACTCCAAGTGGAGATTACAGTAGATCTGATGTATATGGCTACAGAAATTTGATCTTACTGACTAATGAGAAAAATACTGAAACAATAAATAATTCCAACTGTTATATTTATGACACTAATTTTTCATCAGCGGCTGAATCCTTTTCATTAAAATCTGATGTTTGTCATAATGATAAGATGAATTCATATTTTACTATTTCTTCTTTCGATTATGCTACCATATCAAACAGTAAAATTAAACCTGGAAATATTCCTGATCCACCATCATCAGATGATTCACTTACTGATGAAAATCCTCAGAACACTAAAGGAAATGATGACACCAGGAGTTCATCTCAAAGTAGTCCAGAAAATAAAATCAAAGAATCATCCAAACGAATCCATTCATCAAGTAGTGTAGTAATGTTACGGCAGCATTTACATCGTGCTTATAGACCTGTATTTTTTCTTATTTACAATCGTCCTAGTGTTATTGAACATTTAACAGAATGTGATTCATTTGCATCATTTTGTAAACGTCAAGCTTTAAGTCCTGTAATGTTTTTAAATCAACCAACAACACTTTTCGATAAAAAACCATATCCATGTATTTATCAAAATTTTGATTTATTTAAAGTATCTGTTGCAGGATATTTATCGCCTAATGAATGTGATATTTCAACAGATTCAATATATTTAAATAATAATAACAATACTACTACTAGTAGTAGTAATAATAATATTATTATTAATAAAAATGATACCTTATCATCACATGTCATACAACAACAACAACAAATTAAAGAAGGATATAATTATAGTAAAAGTTTAATGCATTTTCCTTATTTCCCTTCACATCGAAGTGTAGCAGCGTATGATAATCCTGGATTTGCCCGGTAACCGGATAATAAATAAAACCAAATTCACAAAATCAATGTATAAAAACAAATTCATGTATGCAATTATTCGTTGTTGTTTTTATTTTTATTGTATAAAATAACTAGTTCATTCTTATTATTTTGTATCATAATGATTCTGTATAATACAAAGTATAATAATAATAGTAAGAAGAAGAAGTAAAACCCCAATATAAATATTCTTATTTAAAAAGTGAATAATCATTTATTTTCATTATTATTTACTTATTGAATTCTAAATGATGCTTTAAACGAAAAAGTGAATGAATGGATGAATAAATGAATAGAGTAAATTTTAATGGAATTTTATTCTCTAAGGAATTTTGTGGAGAGTTTAGTAATTTCAATAGTTGAAATCATGAATCATTTGAAGCTAGACCATCATGGACAACCTGGAAACACAGTGGACGGCCGTTTCGTTTTATTATGGGACTCCTCAGCAGTCCTGGGTTCGAATCTCGCCGGGGACGGGACCGTGGATACGCACTGTTGAGAAGTCCTATACTAAGCCAAAATGGCCGTTTACTGCTTTCAAATTTTCCATGGTGGTCTAACTTTAATTGACTTATGACTTCAACTATTGAAATAACAATTGACTTATTGAATGTATATTTTAAATGGTTTTATAGTTCAATCGATGTTTACGATCAAGAGTCTAATGTTTACTATAGATTCTTATCTTATCTTATCTTAGTCTATAATTCTTTAATTATTGGACAGAAACATCTGTTTCAATTGGAAATACCTTATTTCCTATGGATAAATTTATATGGAAAATGATTCTTTTTTGAAATGAGTAGTAGAAGAAGATTTTGTTAAATAGTAATAAGTTATTTGTAATACAGTTGATAATGATCATCATGATCTATCTAGAAGAAGATTGATTTTGAATATTTTTGATAATTAATAAAATGACATCTATTATCTCTATTTAGTGTATATTTAACAATTAAACAACTGAATATTATATTATAGAGTAATATCCTATGCTATTCAACAATCCCATATATATCCTTATTAATTTACAGATTACACTAAATGTACTTATGTTATTTCGTTTCATTATATGATTATACAACTGAAATATAATTTATTGAAGTTGGTCAAGTGTCAAATTATTTTAAATGAACATCATTTGATCTGAGTTATATTTCTAAAATGATTCTAGAAATAGATGAACCTATTATAAACAATGACAAATGAGAAGTCTCATAGTAGGACGAAACAGCTATCCAATGTTTCTAGGTTTTCCATGATGGTCTACTTTCAATATATATATATATATATATATATATATATATATATATATATATATATATATATAATCTGAAAACTTTCGGTTTTTCATTATAGTACACTGCAAAAATTACAGTTTGATGTAATAAAATAGTATCTATGCTAAACAAGTGATTATCAACATATCATTAATGGCTTTTACAGTTTATTTGAAAAGTAAATATTGTTTTGTAAATGTGTTATATCCTAGCGAGAATTATAAATGGTAACTTTTGAGAACTATTTATGAATCTATATGATACATATTGTTTTTATTGTATAATTGTTAAGTAACTAAACTATGTATATTCATGTTCCTCTTATCGTAAGCTTTATTTTGACCCATAGACTATTAATAGGCGATTTATCGTTGATGAGTTATACTCAGTCTATTAATTACGATCTTTCACATTCACAGCCACTTTTGGCTAAATCTTGTACAAATGTTATTCTTCTATTTTGTGGAGCGATGTGGTCTGGTTGATTTGTATATAAACTCAGTATGTTTAAAAAACATGATTCATATCGCAGAGGCTGAGATTATTGTTCTGAACTTTAACAGGCAGGGCTAGGCAGGAAGAAGGACCAATAAAGACTCTAGACTGCTTGTACGGATTTTATGTGTCATTGGTCCGGTCAATAATTCACTGTTTTCTAAATTGGCGGTATTATTACATCATATATATTGATAGGTCACAAGTTTACAAGTTGTAACAAAATAGTTTGTTATTAATTAAGACAATTGTTATAAAGTTTTTCATAATACTTAACAAAATGTTGAGTAGCAGTTACTTTCTTTACAACATTGCATACATAGTATATATATATATATATATATATATATATATATATATATATATATATATATATATATATGAAGATAGAGGTCTTGAGTGATTTGTAAGTGTTTAATCTTAGGTATCTTTGAAATAGTGTTAAATGACATAACGGAAACGTTGGTCACGGTACAGTAATTACATTCAAAACTTGGATTTTGAATCATTCTCTACTTTTTTTTTCAATCTTTATCCTGATTTTTGATTGTATTTAAATAAAGCGTATTCAGTGATTTCATTTTATGTGGTACGAATGATTTGATCAATAGTGATTTTATTATCATTCTCAATTCTAAATTTTTTTCCAAAGAAAATGAGTTTTTGGATTCTTTAAACATGTGATCTAGTCATTTACCTTGATAATTTAGATTTATGATTGTTTATACTTGATTGTACACGGATTTAAATTGGTTAATATACTGATATGATACTCAAATAGATAATGGTTTCATGCATTCTTACATGATAGATAGGTGGAATTTGTATGAATAGATCTGTTGATAGTTCACTAAAACCTAGTATCGGACAGATATTCCTTGTTACTTATTTCATAATTTTATACAATACCCAAAACCTACTGAAATAGTTTGGTTTAAGTAAGAAAGGTTCTTTTCACTTCGAATTATATTTTCTCATTTACCTGTATTTACTGTAACCTGTACATCGACAGAATAGAAGGAGTCCTATTTGAAAAATTTAAACATTTGCTACGGATACCAGTCGTGTAGTAAATCCAATTACAGGACTATAAATAATCAATAGATTGATTCAAGGCTTAATAAAACATTCCAAACAAACACTTGTGATTCCAACGTTTATTGACAAGATGCGTTTTCATCAATCCTACCACTTCTCTAGTGATCTAATAATGCTCACTGATAACTCTTGATAAATAATTTGTTGAACTTTACAGGCAGTCTTCACACTTACCAATCACTTTAACTAAATAGAAATAATACCCATATCCTCGATTTTTTGTCATTGAGTTTCCAGTTTCATTATATTTCATTTTCATATTTGATTTCATTATTTCCTTCATTAACCTATAAACATTGATCCCCTGTTGATTTTGTTATCCAACTCTTAACATAATCTTAGAACTCTCAAAACATAGTAGACTAATAATTATATCCAGAGACTTTCTTTTTATTATTACGATTTTATTTACGATTTACTTAACTAACGTGAAATTTCATATGTTCTATGTGGTTGGTTAACTCACAATCTCTCTCATTCAAGCTGTTCTCACAAAAGATTAAAGTTACGAGACTGTGTGAAGTAGTCATAAGTGCCTCTTACATGCCTCCTACATGTTCCATATGAGATTTTGTTTGTAAAATATTCTATACACATACAACTGTTTGTGTATATCGAAGAGTATATGAATCATTGAAATAAACTCAATATTTGTTCTTTTTACTTTACAAACGTTTATTAAAAAAAGTGATTGCAGAGAGAAATCAAACATAATAATTTCAACTAATTACGTTACGATCTATTAATGGGGAAAAGGCGAATCATGAGCATAGTGAAAAATACCTCTTAAAAGAAAAGATGATTGATGACTTTATGAACAATGATCTAAGCCCTAATGAATGTTATATACACTCTTTCATAAATTTACTCACTGGCTACCTTGGAAATCAGTCAATAACATCTACATTAAAATCATTGGACCAGTTTCTCATTAATTTGCTCAAATTATCATTTCCTTTCCTCTCATCATCTTAAAAAGTGCTAGCTAATACGAAACTTAGGTTTAAGGTTTTCTGTTCATGATCCACAACCACTTGATATATATATATATATATATATATATATATATATATATATGGATGTTGAAATCATTTTGTAGCTCTTCACACTGTTGTTTGCTTTACTTTTTCTCTTTCGTTAATTATAAGTGAAGAGAAAATAGAAAACTAAATAGCTTCAGGCATTGCTGGATTAATGAAAAAAGAAAAGATCAATTTTGAAAATTTCCATGATTATTATTATTAGTATTAGTATTCCAATTATCTTTATTTCGTCTTATTTAACATTTAAACTGGATACACGGTTTTGTGTTGTCGAGGCAAACAAAAATATATATATATATAAGTGGAAACAAATATTAGGGACGACAATCAAAAAGAAAAAAAGAGAGAAAAACTTGCAAACATCTTTTGTAAATAATAATCAAAATTGCTTATGGGACAACAATATTCACGGTCTACATTAACATCTATATATATATGCATATATATATGTATCTACATAAGGTTTTTGTTCAATTTACAATAAAGATGAAGTACTTTATTACTTCTTTACTGAGAAATTATGAAAATAAGGCAATATAGTACTTACTAGTAACCAATTTTATTATTATTATGATTATTATCTATAAATTGAAAACTATAATGGTCAGTTATAGACAAAATTTGTAGAGTAGGATAATATATATATATATAAATTTAAAAGCGTAGTAACTAAGTGAGAATATATGAGAAGGTAGAGGAATAAATGATAGTAAATATATATAATAAATAGATAACAACAATAATAATCAATTGAAAAGGGACATAAACAAAAATGATTTAAAAAGAAAACGAAAAAAAATATTTGGTTTTAATATTTATGCAATAGTTACACAATTCATAATTTACAAGAGTGAAGTGAAGAGAGAAAAGTGCGCGCACGAGAGTGAGGTTAGTATGAAGTGAGATAAGAACGCATTAGACAATAGTTACACAATTCATAATTCACACGAGTGAAGTGAAGAGAGAAAAGCGAGAAAAAGAGAGAGAGAGACAAGGTAGTATGAAGTGAAAAAAGAAACAGCGTAAGACAATTTGAAAATTGATTAACTAATTGTCTTTCAACTAAAAACCAAAAAAATGAAAGAAAAAGTAGAGATAAACAAATAAATGAATAAACTATAGAGTAAGTGGTAATTTATTAATATGTGAAGAAAGATAAAAATTTATAACGATTTATTAGTCTACATGAGTCATCTATTCATTTGAATAAAGGAGTGAAATATTATAGATAAGAAAAAATATGAAGAAATAAAAATAAAGAGGAAAACAAATGTAAAGTAGTTATTTATTTGGATAATGTACTGGTAATCTATTGGAAACAAAACATTATTTTGATGGTGTTTTATTCTCTAAGCTGAATGATTTGATCGTGGAGCTTTCATGGTTCTTTTGAACGACATCATCGGCATAAACGTCAGATAGAAGTGAAGTTTTCAAATTTCTCCACATTTGGTTTACAGCTTGTCCTGTACACTTCCATGTTGATTGGTTCTTATTGTAGAACTTGGTAGTTGATGTATGTTGATGCAAATCATGTAAAGTTGAAAACACGAAATAATGGTTTAATAGTTTTGTATTTATTGTGAAAACTGAAGATTCTGAGTTCCACTAGCATTTGGGTTCATGAGTAGACTTTGTTGAGCAATTCTAAGCCATGTTTAGGCAGCTATCCATTGCCCTGGGATTTTCACTGTTTCAGTAGTTGAGAATGAATGATCTTGGCGAGCTCGTTAGA